TCATCAAGAATTAGATTAAATAAAATAATTTCTTAAAAACATCTTAATTAACTTAATATATTCCGAAAGAAAAAAAACTGAACATTTTATTTGCAAATTTAAAGTGTTCTCCGGTCATACACGTGTCGACGATTTTCATTTGATTTTTTTTTTCTTTTTTTTTGTAATATACAATCTTTTGTATTATATATATATATATATATATATATATATATATATATATATATATATATATATATATATAGGATATTTCTTGTACTTTTCTTCCGAAATGAACTTCCCTCATTGTCTGGAAAGGATTATTCATAATTTGGAAAATTCGATCACACAATCAATGTGCATAAAATGTCTGCCGTTTGTAATTGTGTTTGTTTTAAAGAACAATTGCTGTTTAAATACATAGAATTGAAAGTTACCATGAAAAACGGCTGCCTAAATACAGTGTTGATTGCTATGTTCACGCCGTAGCAGTTTTGGGCAAGTTGTTCTTTAATTAGGGTTGTAAAGGTTTTTAGAAATCCTTTTGCGGAAACAGTATTCATTGAGTATGCCTAATTTCCTGCTTGAACATAGAACATATGAATTTGTTTTAAAATACATTTCAACTCTGCCTTTCCAAAACTAGTAATTCTCATCACCCCGCCAAAAGTGCAACCTCATTTTATCTCGTTAAGAAAGGATATAGGTGTGTGCGAAAATTCCAATTTTTAACATCTTTTCTCATCATGCTTCTATTTTGATCAAAAGGCCGACTAATATACAATAAATATTAATAGTCTTATAATCAATATTATTTTTATCGTTGTTTTTTTATCTCCCGATTTTTTTTTTCATCTTCCTAAATACCTACATATTATAAGATGCATACGTTGACAGTCTATCTTTACTATCGTTATCGTTATATATATATATATATATATATATATATATATATATATATATATTGGGAGACATGGTGGAGTAATGGATAGCGGTTTGGATTGTGGAGTCGGATCCATTACATTCACTTATGTGCTAATACTCTTGGAAAAGTATGAATCCTCTTCTTCTCTCCCGGCTATGGGTAAATAGTTGGATAGACTGGGTTCTATAGCCTTGGGTGGCAACCGGTCTAGGAGAAGGAAAACTGTGAATTCAAAACCGGCCTGGAGATGGTTGAGCTCCGTCAGGCCATCTTGCCCAAGAATCACCACTTCTACTGCGGCTGCAGTACACATGGTGAACCTATGACTCTACAAGTCACGGGATGCTTATATATATATATATATGTGTGTGTGTGAGAGAGAGAGAGGTGTGTGTGTGTGTGTGTGTTTGGTATCACCCCATGCAAGTAAAACTACTAAAATATAAGGTGTTACAGGTTGTGGAAGGATTAAGAAGAGAAACATTAAATTAATCAGGCGGATAGTAGATTGCATTTAGATTTTGCAGATTAAAGTTGGTTGGAAAACATGGAGCCGGAAGGGAGTTCCACAGACTAAATGTGCGAGAAAAGAAACTGTTAGCATAGAACTTACGGCTAGATCTAGCCAGCTCAACTGTAAATTGATGAGGTCATCTTAACAATTACCCTGAAAGTAGTTGTAGAAAAAACACGGAGAAAGAACCTTACGGCGGAGGGATAGTGACTGAAGCCGAGCTGTGGTGTTGCTGATTCTTCTTTGGATCTTATCAAGGAGTTCAAGGAAAATAGCAGAGGCACCGGACCATATATTGCAGCAATATTTTAAGCATGGACGAATGGTAGACTTATAGATATGTCAGATAAATTTTGGAGATAAAAATTGTCTCGCACGACATAGTGAAACAACTTTCTTAGCAGCTGAGCTAGCAATGGATTCAATACAATCTTTCCACTTCATATCAGCTGAGAACGTGATCCCGAGAAGGCGCAATAAGTTACTTTCCTGGAGGATAGCATCAGCCATGATGATGAAAGGCAGCAAGTGGTCTCTCAGATGATTAATGGAGAGAAGTTTAGTTTTTGAGGCGTTGAAATTAACAAGCCATATTTTACCCCAGTTAACGACGGAATTGAGGTCGTTTTGGATAACGAATGCCATTTTGACCCTGTCAGACTAATTATATATTTTGACCCTGTCAGACTATATATTGTTTGGGAGGAAATGATTTTATGATTTGCATTCCAGATGTAGTGTTTGTTTATCTATATATCAAATTCCTCTAGACCATTCGTCCGTCACACCCTCTAAAACAGACATAAATTGACCAATCAAAACCAAATTTTGTGGAGAAATGCAAACAGATAAGGGGATACAAATACACTTGGTTTTACTCGGGTGCGTAGCTTAGTACAATACGTTTTCATTAATTTGGGGGCAAAATTAAATTTTTTATTATTTAACATACAAAATATTTCCATTATTTTAAAAACAACTTAATGATTAAAATAACAAATACTTATTCGATAAAAATGCAATATTGTTTTTTGCATATTTTTTCTTTAAGATTTATATACAAGAATCTAATTTTCAGTTCG